TTTCATGCAAGTCCAACGATGGACCTAGCACGTCAAAACGAACGTTTGACGTAGCTATGGAAAATACTAGCGAGGGAGCCGGCGAAGAACCCGAACCCCGACGTAGCAAACGTGCTAGAGTTGAAAAATCCTTCAGACCGGATTTTCTCACATATTTGGTAGAATTCGATTCCGACATTCTAATAAGTATGGTAAAAAATGAACCGGATTTTCTAACATGTTTGGTAGAAAATAAGCCACGGACTTATAAGGAAGCCGTAACGTCTACCGAAGGACCTATGTGGAAAGAAGCCATCAAAAGTGAGGTGGACTCTATCCTAAAAAATCACACGTGGGAATTGGTTGATCTCCCTCCGGGGTGTAAACCTTTGGGATCCTAGTGGATTTTTAAACGTAAAATGAAACCGGACGGTTCCATTGAAAAGTATAAGGCCAGACTTGTAATCAAAGGATACAAGCAACGTGAAGGCCATGATTACTTTGACACGTATTCTCTTGTGACGAGAATAAATTCCATTAGGATGATACTAGCAATTGCCGCTTTGCGGAATTTGGAAGTTCATCAAATGGACGTGAAAACCGCTTTTCTAAATGGCGATATAGACGAAGAAATCTATATGGAACAACCCGAGGGTTTTCGTGTTCCAGGCCAAGAAAAGAAGGTTTGTAAATTAATTAAATCATTGTATGGATTGAAACAAGCTCCTAAACAGTGGTACGAAAAGTTCGATCATGCAATGTTAATTAATGGGTTTAAAATAAACGAAAGTGACAAATGCATCTATGTGAAAAGCACGGTAGACGGCTATGTCATTTTATGTTTATACGTGGATGATATACTCATCGTGGGTAGCAATAATCTAATGATTAATTCTACCAAAAAATGTTAAATTATAAATTTGACATGAAGGATATGGGGCTGGCTAATTAATTCCTTGGGATTAAAATAATTAGAGGACCTAACGGTCTTACGCTAAGCCAATATAATCCCATTACGTTGATAAAATCCTTAATAAATTTAATAAGGATGAGTATCAAGAGGCAAGGACGTCATTGGATAAAAACGTACACCTGACCAAAAATCGTGGAGAGTGTATTTCTCAAGTAGAATACACTAGGATTATTGGCAGTTTAATGTATCTAATGAGCTGTACTAGGCCTGATATTGCCTTTGTGGTTAACAAGCTGAGTAGATATACTAGCAACCCCGGTGATGAACACTGGAAGGCAATAGTAAGGGTTTTGAGGTATTTACGGAAAACCCAAAACCTTGGACTGCAATATGGAAGATATCCAGCTGTACTTGAAGGGTATAGCGCCGCTAGTTGGATATCTGACATTAAGGACTCAAAGTCCACAAGTGGATATGTTTTCACTTTGGGAGGTGCAGCCGTGTCGTGGAAATCCTCGAAACAAACGTTAATAGCTAGATCCACGATGGAATCTGAGCTAATAGCCTTGGATAAGTGCACTGAAGATGCTGAATGGCTACGCCATTTTCTCGAGGATATCCCAAGTTGGGAGAAGCATGTCCCTCCAATACGCATTACATTGCGACTGTCAATCGGCAATTGGAAGGGCACAGTGCAATCTCTATAATGGTAAGTCTAGACACGTTCGTCGTAGACATAACACCATTAAACAATTCCTCACAACGGGTGTTATCACTGTTGACTACGTGAAGTCAAAGGATAACATAGCGGATCCACTAACCAAGTCATTGGATAGAGAATTGTTGGAGAAGTTGTCACGAGGAATGGGACTAAAGCCCGTGAATTGAAAAGTTCTATAGTGGATACCCAACCTAGTTGGTCCTAGGTTCAAAAGGGACAACTAAATTATAGAACGAAGGATGGTCACTGTGGGGGTCCCGAACTCCTACCCACTCCTCGTTGAAACAGTGACTCCCGCACGAGGTTAGCAAAAACGTTTGCTTTAATGATTCTAAAATGTTGATCTACTCGATAACATTGGAAGAGTATGCGGGATACTCGTGAAAGAATCTCATATGTGAGAGAGAAGAGGGCCACTTCAAAGGAGAACTGTAAAAGCTCAGTTCTTTAGAAACTCTTGCAGAACCTGGACGATGACCCACGGCCAAAACGGGCACACTCATGAGAACGGAACAAAGTTGGAAGGTTCTTGTGTAAAGATAAGTCAATGTTTACACGACGGCAGTATAGTTCAAGGACATCGAGTCTACTAGACAGCCAGTAAATAAACGTGTCTTTACAGCGGAAGGTTCAAAGGATTAAACCTACCTCTCTGTATGCAAGGATCATCCGGTGAACACAATGTGTCCTCCTATCTTCGTGTCTTTTTTAAGTCTCGAAAATCAATTTTCATTCATGTGGGGGATTGTTGGAAAAATGTCTTGAAATTGCATTAAATGGTAATTTTGGGGCAATTTTGTGAGTGGGGTCCACTTCCAAATTGGGTCGGGTCAAAGTGGTTTCGGATTGTCCTTGCTCAAGGCTACAATTCGATATATGGTACGCTCAAAACGGATAACGGGTGAATGATAAATTGATTCTCGAAGTTTACCCGTTAGAATGAAAAAACTGGGAAAAAGGATGGGTTTCTAGTGTGTTATTTCCCACACCAGAAAACCCAAGGGACTTGCAACCCTTTATAAAGGGACTCCCCCCTTAAGGAGTTAAGATTCCTAAGGGTAAAGGCTCTCTCCATGCGCGCAGGGGTGGTGGTGCAAATCAAATCCCGAAATCGGAGAAGAAAAACCGCGACTTGCGTGCGCGGGCGACCTACGGACACGAATGTCGTCCAAAAATCTATCTCTCAAGAGATACGGTTAAGTTTTGTTTTCTTCCCGAAACGCTTATTTTTTCCCAGCGGCAGAAAAGCTTCGGACAGAACCCCTTCGTAGGGTGTTCTGTTGGCTTCGGACAGAACCCCTTCGTAGGGTGTTCTGTTGGTGATGGATAGTGTACCCGGGGATAGCTTATCCGAGGGGTTATTCGAGGAATAACTTAGAGAGAAGTCAGAGCAAGTAGGAGAGAGAGAGAGAGTCAAATGTATTAAATGATCTCGATGTGTTCTACAAGGAGAATAAGGGCTGCTATTTATAGCAGCCATAAATGCGATGAGAGTACACATGTCAATAATCTAACGGCCGAGGGGTCACCTCAATCGGGGTGGCACCGGCATTCGCATGTGCACCGCATTAAATGCGGTGGGTGGATGTGACGCCACATTAAATGCGGTGGTTTCCTGTCTCCAAAAGGAATCTTCGATGATTGGGCTGGTAGCCGAAGGCTATCCCTGTGGCCGAGGGCTCTCTGTAGCCGAAGGCTTGGTATAGCCGAAGGCTTGGTATAGCCGAAGGCTACCGTTATGCCGAGGGCATGAAGATGCCTAAGCCTCCCGAATTCTGTCATTTTCTCCCATTAATTTTGTATGCTCGAATCTGGCTGCCCTGTGAATTTAGGAGTCTTCGGCCATCAGGCCGAAGGCATCCCCCGGTGCACTGTGAGTTCCTTTGAGCTTGGGCCGCGGTGCTTTGGGCCTCATGCACTCCTTGGGCCTGTTGGGCCTGTGTTGGAGAAGTAGGAGTCTATGGGCCGGGGGTTCCTGGGCCATATACTCCATCAGTTGGCTTCGGACAGAACACCTCGTAGGGTGTTCTGTTGGGGGGTCTTCTGGTCGCGCAGCTGGACGTTTTGAACCGTTACAACAATAAATGCCCAACGTTCTTATCTTTTAATGCAACGTTAAATGGACAGTTCATGGACGATTCAATGCCCAACGGATTGGTCATTGATGTCCAACGTTCAGGTCCATTAATTCACCATTGCTGGCAAGTGGTTTGCAACAACATACGACCTTACACGTTCTTACATACACTAGCTCACGTTTTTCTTCAAAAACACCTCCACTTACCTCTGAAAATTTCTTGAGTGTTCAGTCTTTGTTCTCAGTCTTTGTTCTCGTTCGCTGGAACTTTTGTTTGTGTGCTCAAACACTAGTTCGTAGTCATCGTATCCTGAGAAATGATTGTTGCAACGCTCCTAGCACCGTGGGAGGCAACAAATACGTTTTAAGGACATCGTGCATAGCACGAGCTTTGGCTAAATTCCGCTCCATCTCATTTCTTGTTTTTCTTTAGTCATTTTAATTAATTTATTTTAATTAATTTTCTTTATTTTCCGAAACACACCCAACAGCGGGTATGGGAGCCAGGATAACGGAGAATGCGGAAGCGTGAATATGGAGGCACCGACGGCAGAAATTGGGATGGTGGTGGAGGCCTGGAACGTAGCAGCTCATCCGTAGGGTGATGGAAGAAACCAGAGCAAAAAAAGAGGAAAGAAGGAGAAAAAGAAAGAGAAAATAGAAAAGGAAAATCAAAGAAAATTTATAAAATTATTACTACGTATAAAAGTAAAAGACATGCTTAGCTGGAACCTCTAAAATTGCTGATTTGGTTGTTTTTTCACACTTTATGGACTTAATTGACTCATTAAAAAGTACATGGACTCAATTGACTTTTTGCTAAGAGTAAGTGGACTTATCTGACAGTTTTCCCAACAAATAATGAATAAAGACTTACAAAAAACTTCCTCGATTCTCCTTTTTTTTATCTTCTGATTTTTTCCTTTCCCATTATACTTATTCACTTCCCTTTATTTATTCATTTTGTTTTAATGATGCATGGTTTTCAACCGAAGAGAGTACTGACTACTAGTGCCATAACATATGTACATTCATCACCAAGGTCTTCAATGGGTTAGGTGATATCTACACACGTGACTTTGATCACAACCCAACAATGTAATTATAGTTGGTAGAGATCATGTGTATTTTCAATCCTTTTCAATTGGGAATTTGACAACACCCAGTGGTCCATGGTTGAGTTAGGAAGGGGCTAAAGGGTTCTTGGACTCATTCTAACGGGTTTCAAGTACCTAACTTTTTAAACCTATAGAAACATGCCACTATCACATGCCTTAATTACTAGTTCTTTTTTTTTGCAGATTGAAAATTTAATTACTAAGGGGTATTATTAATGAAGTCGGCTTAAAGCTTGCACAATACAATTAGAAAGAATCGGGACCCACACTAGGTTGTCAGAAAGAGATTGAACTACTTGAACAAGACTGTGAACAACGCGATTCGCGGACAGCCACACAAAAGCATTAGAAATGCTGTCAAGTTCATTAAATCTCTATTGAGCAAGGCCACTTCCATTATAGAATTTATAGATAACGGAAACAATGGTTCTCCTTCAGCAAGTTCAACGCCTCCCTGACCCCATAATCTCGGCTTCCTTGGGTGATATATTCCCCTCCCAAGGCCTTGATACTTTATTTGTTATACAGTCCTGGTTTAAATAACTAAGAGAACATCACCCGTCCCCACAGATAGTATATTAGTATCCATCCACCTCAAAGGCTCAAAAGATTTTTTCAAGGAGGCGAATTAATTTGTCTTGACCATTAATCTGTTGCATTATCAAAATCCACCTCAAAATGTTTCGTAGTATTAGATGTCCTTGCTACTAGAGATTTACGGGTAGAAATCCTTGTGATTACTTATTCAATTCCTAGAAGTGGCTTGAAACAGAGATCTGCAGTAAAAGCATACTCCGTATTAAGAATTGATGAAGATCGTTGATCTACAGAAAAGCTCTCCGATCATTAACCTCTGGCTCAGCCAGTGCAACACCCCAATCCAGAAAAGTAGATGACTAAATAAAGTATATATCGACCAAAGAGATCTGAAAGATTATTCTACACGACAAATACGGGCCGCATTGCAACACCGCAGCAGGTGCACATAAAACTGCACTCGGGACTAAACACTTTTAGCTACGACATATATCTATACAAAGAAGCTAACGAGACAAGAGAAGAGCTCCATCCCTACTCTCGAGATTGGTTTCCAGGTTCAAGAAGAGATTCTCTGGCAGAGGAGTCATTTCCGGAAGCTCTGTCCTTCCAGATGCTATCGACTTCCTTGAACGTCAGGCCCTTGGTCTCGGGCACGAAAGTCACCACAAACCCAAAGGCTGCAACAGCCATACCAGCAAATATCAAGAAAGTGCCACCGGTGCCTATGGCATCGACCAATGACAGGAAACTCTCTGTCACTATGATATTGGAAATCCAGTTCACAGTGGCCGACATTCCGCCGCATATCCCTCGGTATGCTTCAGGGTATATCTCTGAGCTCATTGTCCAAGGCACGGTGCCCATCCCGGGCGAAAAGAAGGCAATGTAAAGAACCAAACCTATGACTGCAACCCATCCATACATCCTGTTGCCCGTGCTGGATGACGGGTCTAAGATTATGAATGATCCCGCAAGAAGAACAAGGGAAACTATCACGCCAGATAAACTTGTCAGGACTAACTTTTTGCGACCAATATAGTCGATGAGGTAAATTCCCAGGACTGTGCCCATGGCATTCATAAATGCCACGATCGTTGAGATAAGTAATGCTAATTGGTTTGAATGGAAGCCAGCCATTTGAACTATTGCTGGGCTATAGTACATCACTGTATTGATGCCAGTTAACTGCTGGAATGCCTGCAATAAATTCATGTTGCCCGTCTACTGGTGATTACTTATATATTTCAAAATATTCGGAGTATATTCACATGAGGTGTCAAATAAAGTACCTGTAGTCCAGCTCCAGCAAAAAATGCAAGTCTAAGGTGCTGTTCTGTTCGTCTTATTCTTATTACTTATTGCTTATTCTTATTTTATTCAGATCAGATCAGATCAGATCAGAAAAATTCAGATCAGATCAGATCAGATCAGAAAAATTCAGATCAGATCAGATCAGATCAGAAAGATTCAGATCAGATCAGATCAGATCAGAAAGATTCAGATCAGATCAGAAAGATTCAGATCAGATCAGACCAGATCAGAAACATTCAGATCAGATCAGAAACATTCAGATCAGATCAGATCAGATCAGAAAAGTTCAAACATGATTATTATTATTATTATTATTATTATTATTATTATTATTATTATTATCATTATCATTATCATTATCATTATCATTATCATTATCATTATCATTATCATTATCATTATCATTATCATTATCATTATCATTATCATTATCATTATCATTATCATTATCATTATCATTATCATTATCATTATCATTATCATTATCATTATAATATAATATTATAATAATATAATACTAATTATAATAATAATAATCATATTATTATTATATTATTGTAATAATAATAATCATATTATTATTATATTATTGTAATAATAATATGAATATAATAATATCATTATTATAATATTAATTGTACTAATATTACTATTATTATATTATAATATTATAATTAATGTTAATATAATTATAATTATTATTAATTATAATTATAATAATTATAATTATACTTATAATTATAATTTATGATTATAATTATTAATATTATTATTATTATTATTATTACTATTGTAATTATTTTACGGAGTAATTATAATAATATTGATAACTATAGTTACAATTATAGAGATAAATATTGTAATTATAATTACAATTATAATTATATAAGTAATTATAATTAAAAATATAATTACAATTATAATTATATCTATATTTATAATTAGTGTAATAAGTATAAATTTTTTCATTTTAAATTTACTTTTAATTATTATTATTATTATTTTTATAGTTACGATTATAATTATAATTTTATTTAAATTATATTTGTAATTGCAATTATAATAATTATAATTATAATTATAATTATAATTATAATTATAATTATAATTATAATTATAATTATAATTATAATTATAATTATAATTATAATTATAATTATAATTATAATTATAATTATAATTATAATTATAATTATAATTATAATTATAATTATAATTATAATTATAGAAATATTCAAATCAGATCAGATCAGAAAGATTCAGATCAGATCAGAAACATTCAGATCAGATCAGAAACATTCAGATCAGATCAGACCAGATCAGAAAGATTCAGATCAGATCAGAAAGATTCAGATCAGATCAGATCAGATCAGAAAGATTCAGATCAGATCAGATCAGATCAGAAAGATTCAGATCAGATCAGATCAGATCAGAAAAATTCAGATCAGATCAGATCAGAACTTAAAAAATTCAGATCAGAAACATTCAGATCAGGCGAAGAGAACAGCTTCTAAGTTCTTTTGATCTGAGAATATCTGTGTATCTGACAGCATTCTTTCTAAAACTTTCTTCCTCTAAGGCAGTAGCTAGCTGAACAATCTCCTCCTCCAAGCGATAAGGATCATAGATTTTGGAAAGAACAACTGTAGCTTCTGATTTATCACTCTGAAAAGGGGTTTGGTTTGGTTTGGTTAGTCTGTATTACTAGAGCATTGGCACACAACAAAGGAAAAATAAAAAAGTTGTTAAAATGGCAATTCACATTATCCTAGTATTTTGTACCTTCATGTAGAGCCACCGTGGAGACTCGGGCATGAATAGCATTAGACAAAACTGTATAATAGCTGGCACAGCAGATACTCCAAGCATCCATCTCCAAGTCCCGGGGACCTGCTCGATGATTTACACAGGACAAATGTTCAATATCCATGCCAGATCATTACACATGACAAATTTTAACTAACCAGAGCAATTAGCTAAGCAGTAAAAAGATTGGTCAGATGAATAATAAAAAGTCAAAAAACAAATGATTATTATATAACAAAAACTGAAACAACAATTGTTATGGCAATTATTGGATAATAACATAAAACCATAGCTTCATCATCAAGTAACATAAACATACTTTAAGGTACAATAAGGAACATATTGTCGTGAGCCAGCCATTGCTTTGACAAAAAATTATTACATCTGCCCAAAGTATTCACACTACCTTGATACCTTCCATCGTTGGATGTCTTCCTTATCTACTTCAAGATGTTTACTATTATCTTCAAATTTTACAAACTTCAAAAAAAAAATACCTTGGCCCCCAGTGACCCAGTCTTCACAGAAACAACATCTCAATTCTTCAGGTAGAAATAAGGCCTGCATTCAGATCACCTTTCCCATATCCTACTTTAACTACCTAATGAGACTTACTGGTTTGTTTGGTTTGGTTTCCATTATAGCTATTTACAATGTCCATTCTCCTAACTTGCACACTACAAACTTTTTTAGATTTTGTAATTCACTTACTCTTAGGGGTAGATATAAGGTTTACATGCATCTCATCCCCCTCAGCCCTTGGCAGACCCTACTTCCTAATTTCGCATGGGACTGATTGCAGTTTGTTTGGTGTCCTTCCACTTTTAGCTTGTCACGTTTTAACTTTCCTAATTTGAACATCACTAGTTTTTCTGCATACCCCACCAATAATCTTTAGTGTTCCTGATTAAACATTTTTGTCTTTTGTTTTCACTAGTCCATGCTGAAAGCTAATTATGAAGTGGAACCTAAATTAATTGTTTGGCTAAAAAACAAAATAACAAGTTGTCAAAATATAACAATATTCATACTGTCAAATTAATTACAATATCATGAAATCCTTGCATGTAACAGTTCTCACAGTTGATTTCAAACCACAATTTGATTTGCAGAAAGAATTTGTTGATTTTGTTACAACACTGAGCATAAAACACAGTTGCAAGCAAAGCTGATATCGTAAAAATACCATGAAGAGCACATCGCATAAGGACAAAGTAACACTTCCAACGTCTACTTGATAAAAAATTTACTCAAAATTTGTAAGCCAAACCACAATGCCCTTTCATGAGTACATAGTTAGGCTAAACTAATAATTCAGGAGATATTGTAGATATACTTAAAGGAGATAACAAAACAGAGGGACGTTGAGAATATTATAGAAGCATAATCCAGACAAAAAAAGAAAAAAAATATTGTTGATTGTTTTTGAAGGTTTGACACTGAAGTGTTTAAACATTAAATATTCAGTTTCTGATATGCATCGTTTGACAACCTAAGGAACCCTGTTCCACATCCTAGAAAAAAACAATTTCAGAAACATACGTTCATTTAAGAGATTGCTGCAACTACTCAACAGGGGAAAAAATCATGATCCAGACTTCTACGATGCCATATAAGACTAGGTGTAAATTGAACAACAACACACTACATACTTATGGATGAAATCCAAAAAAAAATTGAATCGACAGACAGGTGGACAACATGGGACAACAGAAAACCTCACACTTGAAGAATGTTCATGAATAGAAACAAGAAATCCTAGTTCTAAACATATACACGCATCTAGTTATGGATGAAAACATTAAAAAATAATACCAAATGAAAAGAAGCTACTGATCTCTGAAAATTGTCCATTATTACACTTACAGATGCAAATAGAATATTTAGGCAATTGGAAAGTAAATGATCGTGTTCAATGCAAAAGCCAGTAAAGATGACATTACTTGAAAGCGATAGATAAATATAATTTGGAGCCAAATCAGAACTAGTATAGGCAGGAAAGAAAGTAACAATTTCCTTCACTGATTTATTCATTGCGAAAACTATAATGCAGGCCCATAAATCTATCTTGATGCTGGTTCTTCAGAGCTGCACAGTTGAAAACCCTTCATGCAAAGAAAGCAGTGTGATAAAGAACAACTAAATACAACGTAGGCCAAGACATTATTATAGCAGCAAAAAGATGTGGCAAGATTCAACAAGCTCATTCTATTAAAATTGACCAGATAGTCTTACTCACCATAACTTCAACATGAGAAAGAAAACTACTACTTGGGCCCATGCATCCTGATGTCTAAATGAATCAGGCACTGTCAAGGCAATCAAAAACTTGTTTATGGCAGTATATTCCACACTCTTGGTTTGTCTATTTGAATCATATTCAAATCAAATGCAAATGATTTGTAATGATGGAATTTAAGATCACCTCTGTGTGTTCGATTTACATCGGGTATTCGGGTTCAAACCCATCCTTTTTGGTTGATTTGGGACTCCAAGGACTTGGGATCCCAGTTTTTGACTCAAGATGGCATAAGCAAAAATGATTAAAATGATTTAAAGATTTTTCACAGTTTGTCTATTGAAGCTCATAAAAGTTTAAGATATCTCAAACTCATTTATAAGAATGAAAATAATAAGAAGATAAGTGATAAAAAGTTGAATTTTAGAGAAAATCAGGAACATCTGACCTCAGTGAAAGCAAGATTGACAAGGTAGGAAATAAACTGTCCACCAGTAATCATTAGTGCATTGGTGCTCACAAGTCCTCCCCGAATTTCAGATGGTGATGCTTCAGCAATATATACAGGAGCAGTGACAGATGCGACGCCAACCCCAAGACCAACTAAAAGTCTTCCAAGTATAAGGACATAAGGACCTGGAGCTGCAGCCATAACAATAGCTCCCAGTGCAAAAACAACATCAGCTGAAAGGGTAGCTTTTTTCCGTCCATAAGCATCATTAATCCAGCCTCCCGCAGCAGCTCCAATCATGGCTCCAACCAAAGCCATGCTGACAATAGTTTCCTACCAAAACATAGATAGTTGTAGTACATAAATATATATACTGAAAAAATGAAACTGCTTCACAAGTATTGTTGTGATATTGTGCATGTATTATTCTGATATTTTCTGCAATGTGGGGCAGAGTGAGAGGGTTGAGCTAGATAGACAGAGAATACTTTTTTGGTACAATAAAAGTTGGGACTCTAGTCTTCAACTTCATATTTGTAAAAAGTTGCACATGTGAATATATGATATGGTTTCCCATTTCCCAATGCTCGATTCGATAGGATAGAGAGAGCCCTTCTAAATCGCCTCTCAGTATTTTAATGATTGGGCATTCCTAGATCCACCATTTCATTGATGCTAGTAAAAGATTATGTAAAGAATGGAGACAAGGGAAAGAATAGAATATGAATGCAGCTTCATACAAGGAATGAGTGGTTAGGTTATTTTTAAATTTTAAAGAAAGAAATGAAACATATTTGTATTATACCCAAATACTTTTGACCCCAAAAGATATTTATAAATGAAAAAGATGGCTAGATCTACATCTAGCCATTATTCTATGATTGTGAATGATGGCTAGATCTAGTCCACTAGTAGTTACTCTCCCAGCAATGAAATTGGCCAGAAAAAAATACAAGAGAAAGGCTTTGATTTAGAACATATCTTCTTAGAAATTAGGATTTGAGTTCTTTTTGTAAATGGGACTATAATTGGTAAGGCTAGCCAATACTGCTGTCTAAGCACATTCAGTCATTCTCCGATAACGCTTGCTCAACAGAAATAATGTGTCACCAACTCAGGACCCTTAATTTTCAAAATTAAAATACAACTTTCTTGTGATCAATCAGTTACAATAAAGCCATTCCATGAGCTTCTCTTACTCAAGTTCTTTCCAGATAAAGTCATTTCCATTCAAAGCACAATGTTGTAAGTTCACTGGGATAAGAACTAGATAAAGTACAAGCAAAGAATAATTCTATGAAACCTGCAGGAAACTGCTTTGATTCACCTCCTCAAATTCATCTTTAATGTACAAAAGTGCACCAGAAATTACTCCTGCAAACAATTCAGTCCATTAGATGCAAAACACTGAAAACTTTGATTGTGTGCACTCTAGCTCTTCAAATTCCAATCTTTATTAAACTTCTTAGTGGAAATGTAGCATTTTTTACAAGGACATATTCAGGTAAATGTGGCATTATTACACAAGATGGCATTTTTTCCGACCATACGAGCTGGTGGTGCTAGGATGTAGAGGATCCCACGGCCCAGGCCTACTTTTATTTTAGTATTTTTAGGGATTTTTTTATTTTTTTTTAAGTTTTTCTTTACTTTTTATATTTTTTTTATTTTTCCCATTATTATTATTTTATAAATACTTTTTATTATTTTTATATTTTTATTATAAAGAAAACTATGATTTTCTTATTAATAAATAAATCTATTAGAATGGGTTGAATAGGAAAAAGAGATACGGAGTATATATTACTACTATTTTTAGTCCTATTTAGGGCTAAAAATTAAAATACTAATAGAAATTCAGACATTTCAGCCAAAATTTCATTAATTCCACCAGATTCAGTCGATTAAGTCAATTTCAATGTTACCAAACGGGCAATGTGAAAAAGCATATAAAGTTAAAAGGTAAAGATTGTAAATTTGGTGACCCTTTTTTCGGCTTATTAGGTTAATAAGCCAATTTTTTCACCAAACAAGTACTTTTTGATTTCAGGCGCTGAATTGTGTAATAATAATAAAAAGTAAGACTGAAGTTACTTTTCTGGTTGTATTGACTGAATTTAATGTAGAAGATCATTTGTCTATTTTTCATATAATTTTTTCTTTGTTTTATCAAATTAAGTCAATTCCGGTGTTACTAAAAGTACTCTAATTTTAAATATTTAGTACTCCGTATATGATTTAACGCATAATTGATTAATTCCCATTTCAACGTGGGGTTGGTTCCCGTGGACCCACACAGCCTTTACTAACTTCGAATCTTCGATCAATAGATCCAATCATCCACCAAATCCAACACGACCAAACAATATGTTATGTGAATAGATAACTTCCAAAATCCGGAAACAGAAATTCTTTCATAGCGAAACATACATTAATATCAATACCTGTATCATAGCCAAAAAGGAGGCCCCCAATACCGGCAATGATGGTCAAACCCAGGACATAAGCATTGCTGAAATATGTAACCTTCCGGTCACCGACATCCAAGTACCCTGAGCTACCGGGCATCGATTCCACGGTCATTTTTCTTCAAATTCTGAAACTAAAATGAAGAACGAAATCCCAGATGATGGGGAAAACGGGAAACCGACGCTTCCGATGGGGAGGTAAACTAGTTCCGGAAAGAAAATCTGGAAATGGAAAAGCTTTTGGAATTAATTGAAAAATTTTCCGTGGTAGAGAGCAGAAAGATGGAAGAGTTGTGGTGAGTACTCCACCTGAAATCGATGGTGTTTTATAATGGAGTGCGTGTGACCTTTTGTGATGCGATGATGTGAGGATGGTGATGAACTCTTGACCTCACCTGGCCGGTGGGGTTCCCCACGCTCTTACCCGCGGGTGAATCTCAGCCGACTTCTGTTTCCTAGTACGGAGTAGTTTTGAAGAACGGTCAAATCCCTGAGAGAATCAAAACTCAAAATTGCTATATACTCCGTACGAAGTATACCGCATTTTGGATGAGAAATGCTATGGACCTATGGTACATAACTTGTACACAAAAGGTCTATTAGAGACAATTGGTACAGAGTTGCCTGTGAGCACATACAAGAATTGTCTGTATCCATAAACATTTACTTTTTTTTGTAAAAAGTACACTGACAGAAAAGTAAATGTTTGTGGACACAGACAAATTTGTCTGTGTATATAGACAATTCTTGTCCGTGTTCACAAGTAACTCCGTACCAATTATCTGAGACCGACATTTTGTGTACAAGTTGTGTACAACTTGTGTTCCTAGCATTTCTCATTTGGGATATGGGTAATTCCGTGTATATAGGAGTAGAACATTGTAAATATATTCACAAATAGGAATTTACGGGTATGAAATAGGGACGGACAAAAGAAAATCAAAAATTAATTAAATTCAATGATTAAAAAGAAATAAAATAAATGCGTCGTGCGAGATATGATTTGTTATGAAAATTTAAGATGCAACTAAACGATTAAAATAAATGGGTTCTCTCTAATTAATGACGAAGGGAATAGGGATTGGTTCCGGGGTAACCAGATTTATGGCAGATCAGGCCTAATTACATGAAATTAATTTAATTGAGCCCAATTAATCATTACTAAGTTCTTACCGCTCTCGCAGCGTAGAGTACAATAATTTAGGATACCAGGCTGATCTCTCATGCGACAAGTTCCTAAATTATTGCCAAGACAAGCGAGCTTACGGCCCCTTAATCGCTACTAATCTCTTAGCGAACGATTAAATGTGTGTGAATGTGTCCTAGAACAAATTAGATCTCTCTTAATTTATTCTACAAGCAAATGTAATTCTAGTCGCGATTCTAGGTTACAAAAGATATCACTTAAATTATTCAAACACAAATTAAACGGCATTCATGCAATTAATCTATCAAGAAACTAGCCATACATCATGATTAACCCCTTCATCAACCCCAAAATCCCTAATTAAAACTACTCGCAATTCATAATTAAAAGATTGAACTTACAAAGAATCCCCAAAAGATTGATGAACAAGGCTGAAAAGCTCTCTAAATTTCGTGTTAGGCATTCTCTCTAAGCTCCCCCTCCAAAATAGACAAATTGGGGGCATATTTATAGAAAAATCGCGAAAATAGGCCGAATCGCACGACTGCACTGTCGACCGCACGCCGTGCGGGTCACCGTGCGGCCGCGCGAGAAATTAATGTGCTCTGCGTTTCGCTACGTCCTCACTGTGTGCGGATCCCGCACTATACAATAGTGCGGGTACTTCTGGGGGCTATTTCTGAACCGCGCGGTGTGCGGTTCAGACTTCTTGACCTTTTGCTCTCAGAATCACCCGCGGGGCGTGCGGAACCGACCCGCGGGGCGTGCGGAACCGACCCGCGGGGCGCGCGGAATGCTCTAGAACCGTTTTTTTTGTTTTTTTCTTCCCCGTTCGCTCCCGGATGCTTCTTGGATCAATCTGAAGGTCATTTCTTCATCAAATCTTCGTCGTGAACCTTCCGGTGGCGTCCAAAACTCTCAAATCTCACTCGAATGCTCTCAAACTCGTCTTGATTGTTTCTCAAGCGCTGGTACCCGGACTCTAAATTCCTGAATTTGTCTCCAAACAACAAAAAACTTGAACCAACGCCTGATAAACATAACTTGAGCTAAAATTGAGACTTGTAACACCTTAAAGCTAGGAAAACCACCAAATGCCGATCCCAACACACATCAAATGCGTGTCTAAATACGGACTAATCAATTATCGTTACACATATGGTACAAGCATAGATGTAATCGAGCTTTTCTTCTGAATAATTGTTTTCTTTTCATTTCTATTTTGTAAAAAAATTGCATGCTTATTTATAGTTATATATTTATTAATTTGAAATTACATTTTTATATGTTAGCAGTATAACGACAAAAGAAAGTAATAATTAAACATTACTTCTCCGTCCCTGATTGTTCTTCCAAATTAAAGTGGCACGGTGATTACGAAAAGTGGGAATTGTGTGGTGGAGAGTTATGCAGAGGAGAGAGAAATGTTGTGAACCACAAATTCTTTGCCAAAAAGGGAAAGTGAAGTTCTTTTTGGGACGGACGAAAAGGGAAAGTTGGAAGTAAATTCAGGGACGGAGGGAGTATTTTCTTAATAATTAATTGATGACATACCAGAATTGCACTGACCCGATGTAATACTATCGATTCTTATACCGGTTCTAAAAACTTCTAGAATCGAATCGATATGGGATTAACAAATCAAGGGGGAATCGAGGGGGGTGGGGTGGGGCAAGCTGAAGAAAAAGAAGGACAGAAGGAGATGGTGGGGCGAGCATGGCTGAAGAAGAAGAGGAAGAGGAAGAGGAAGAGGAAGATGAGGAGGAGGGGGAGGGGGAGGGGAGGGGAAGGGGTGGCTTGGCTAAAGAAGAAGAGAGTTGGGGAGGATGGAGTGGGACGGGATGAAGAACCGATATAAGAAAAGTCCACAGAAATCTTTAGTGATGAGAAGAGACAATTTCATAGAATTGTTGTACTAAAAATGAGTTAAAAGCCAATGAGAGTCTATGATTTTAGAAGTCAATAAGAATGAACGGAACTTTGAATACGTTTATACTTTTATAGAATTTTAAAAGTCTATATTAAATACACCTAGACTTTTGTAAACTTTTAAAAGTCCACATTGAATACATTAGAACTTTTAAAATTCATGGACTTTTGAAATTTTGCCACTAACTCATAATACAATACACCCCCTACCTTTTATCTACCCTTTAATAGGAGTTAAAAAGACTTGGAGTGACCAAATTGCCCTTAATGAAAGAATCAGACTATACCTATAATACTCCGTATAAAAACAAAAACTAGAAAACACTCCAGAGAACAACAGATACAGAAGATGCAGCGGTACAACCCTGGGCTGTGACTGCCACCTTCACCGGCTCCGGCGGCACCACCGGCCACCGTCGCGTCTGACTTTGCCGCCGCATCTGACATCGCCGCCAATAGTCGCTTTCCGCCTCTTTTTCTCTGCCACCAACCGCCGCTTGTGTTGTCTCAATCGCCTCTTCTAGAGGGTGGATATCAGGGAGTCACCTCTCTTGGAGAGACCACTATAGATCTGTAGCAAAGAGTTTGTCACATCTAATGACATGTTTGTTGCTTTGCCATCTTCGTAAATGAGTGCCATATATTAACATTTTCATATCTGAAAAATGGCATGTTGAGAGACAAAAATCATGGCTTATTTGATACGAGTAAACTAGACTTAATGAATAAAATGTTCAAAAAAATTCATCAAAAAATCCACCGGAAACCGCCCCTAATGGAGACGTCCGGACGGAACCTCCTATAAAAGGGGTGATTTGCACTTTTTTATGTAAGTTCGAGGGCTTATTTGGTAGTTCTCCCTCACTATTTACCCTCCCCCCCCCCCCACGTAAAATACTTTATATGATACAGTGTGAAATGTTTAAAAAAAGTCCCCGACAGTTTACATTGAATAATCAAACCAAATAGTGTAAACATGTTACGTCCTTACACTTCACATGCAAAGTAATTACTTTACATCCTACCAAATGCCCCACAGTGTTAGGTAAAAATTGATACCCAAAATGAGGTATCTATAGCACAGCTAGGGCTGTGCATTAACCGGGTCGGACCGTATTTTAGACCTGAACCGGACCGGAATGGACCGGTCCGGACCGGACCGGTATAAACCGGTCCGGGTTTCGGTCCTTAGTTTTGTAAGATTCCGGGTTCCGGTCCGGTCCGGGTCAAACCCGGAAAAAACAGGTCCGGACCGGAATGGACCGGTAACCTATTTTCCCGTAAAATATATACATGGTTTTGTATCATAAGTCTTTATGTTTATGACTTATTTTTGTCTTTTATTATATAAACGAATATATACGGAGTGTATATTTGGTGTCTAATTATTTCCTAAGTTGTTATTTATTTATTTATTTATGTGATTTTTCTGCTTTTTATTTGTTTCTTTATTTGCAGGTGCACATGTAGTTTATACGTAGTATATTTTTGGACTTAATTTAGTTTTTATTACTTTATAATAGATTTTGCATTTTAATATACACAAAAGATTGTAGTTTTAATTATTGTGGGAAACTAATTGTTACGATTGAATAGTTTTGATAACTATATTCCAAAAATAATAAATGAGCTAGACAAACAATTATTTAGTCTATTTAGCATATCCGCACATAAAATTATAATTTAGAACAACAACATCCAAGCCTTATTCCTAAACAATTTGGGGCCAACTAAGAACACTCTAAGATAATATTTATTTTTTAAAACCGGGTCAATTAGGGTCAAAACCGGACCGGACCGAAAAATTCAGGTCCGGACCGGTCCGGACCGGTTAGATTCAGGTCCGGTCTCCGGTCCAAAGAAAATGATGATTCCGGTTCCGGTCCTAACCGGTTCCGGTCCGGTCCGGTCCGGTTTTGGACCGGTGCACACCCCTAAGCACAGCTCATCAAAATTTAGAGGGTTCAATAATTCGCTATATTTTCAACACTCATGCATACCATTCACTATTCACTAATGCATATCCAAAAATAAGTTTATAATTCATTCTTCCGTCCCTTAAAACTTGGCCCAATTTGATTGACACGGAAATTAATAAAGATTAAACTGTGTCATTAAAGTTTGCGCAGAGAAGCAATATTAAATTACAAATTCTTTACTTAAAAAGAAAAATTGCAAAGTTAATAGGACAAATAAAATTGATAGGGTTTTAAGGGATGGATGAAATAGTTTATTTTGAAGTTGTTGTGTACGCCATGTCTGAATGTTTCGATCTGAATTCTTTAAGTTTCAATCTGATTTGATGTGATTTTTTTATCTGATCTAGATTGATATGAATCTTTCTAATTTGACTTGAATATTTCTAATGTGACTGAGTTTATCATCATCATCATCACCATTATTCATCATCATCATCATTATTTCTCAAAGTGTAAAATAAATGTAAGTTTACTTACAAAATTAGATACATTTTCATAAAAAAAATAAGACAAAATAAAAAGACAAGTAGACACTTGCATTTGAGTATGTTTGCTCCTATTACATTTACTCATATTTTGAAAATTAAATATGTTTTTACTTGGATTGAATTTTTTTGTTCTGGTTTGATTTGGTCTGATATAATAAATGTTTGATCTTTGTGTATTTTATAAATGTAGAAGTTTAGTTTGTTATGATCTAATATGGTTTTGTCTATTATGATTTGGTCTACTAATGACATGCTCATCCATGAGATTATTTCTAAGTTTGGATAAACACATTTAATGCAACCATGTCTTTTATTTTGGAATAACTAAAATACGTTTTTGGAAATAAAAAAAAAACTCCATAAAAAACTACGCTCCCGTTCTTGAAATTCTTCCGCTTAGCTTTTTTGGGATGCCAAAAAAAAATCTTATCATTTCCCTTTTTGGAAAGTTTCGTGTGATTAACATTCATTCACGTTTTTCTTACCGAATCACAACTATTCATTTTCACTATATTCTCACGTTGTTAAACTCGAATCTATGTGAAACATAAAAGAATTTTATGGGATGGAGAGAGTAAACAAATAGAGATCATAGCTAATAAAAGAATTAGTAATCTTTGATTTACGTGTCAATGACAAGAAAATCTATGGAACCCTCTATGGTTCCATTATGGAGTCATATAACTCATGTGACATCATAACAACCACTCATTTCTATGATTG